TTTCTTTTGTGATGTTGCTGTAGTAGAATTTTTCATGCTTGAGGTGATGACAGGTTCTTGATCTGAAGTCACTGAGTAGCGGTGGGTGGAGCGTAGAGTTGGGCAGAATGTAGAGGTGGGCAGAGCATAGAGGTGGGCAGAGGGGGTCTCACGTGAGCACGAACTCTCACTGATTGAGCATATGAGGGGACCTTACTCAAATTCCAGCCCTCAGGCCTGTCTCCTGGCTACACTGGATTCTGTCTGTGCAGACCTGAATTTTTAACATCTGGGTAATCTTGGGGGTGGGAACACTCCTCATTTACTGCTACTTGAGCTCTTGAGAATTCTTTTACATACTACAACACAGGCCCACCTGTGTTGTTATTACTGTTAAGTACAGTCAAGTCTGCATACAAAATTTGTGTACATTATGTTCCATTCATGTACACTGTGCTTCACAAATTCCTTTGTTCCATTGTGTTTCATACTATCATTCATATACATTATGTTTTATAAAATTAATCACCATTGATCTATGCCCACTATCAGCCCATTTTTTCAGGTCACCATGGGATATTTCCTAATTTCTCCACCCCCTTGTCTACCTAACACACTCTGTGGCCCCATGATTTTCCCCTCCCAGGTATAGCTTTAAAATAAGGATTTGTGCTTAAATCTTAGATTTATCACTGTTCTAAAACAAGACTGACATGGGGAGCTTGGGGAAAACTAGAAAAAGAGGGGATAAATAATGAACACTGCATTGGAACAGATGAAGGAAAGAACTGTTTAAAAGGAATATGTGATCATGCATTATTTGTATGACAAAGTCCAGAATAAGAGGTGCATAGCCAAGTGGACTGGGGCACAGGGGAAATTGTGCAACAATGAATGATTTTTTTTTAAGTGAACCAAGAGGGGTGGGGAGGAAAATGTGCAACAATGAATGAATAAAAATCCAACTTTTCAGTAAACTTTTGTTAAAATCACAATAAAAAAATAAAAGATCTGTATTCTGGGGAGCCTAGGAAGTACCATGGTTAAAAGCACACAGCTTTGAATCCATAAAGGTCAATGGTTTGAACCCACCAGTGGCTTCCATAAAGCTTTCCTGCCTTGGAACCCATGTGGGGCAGTTCTGCTCTGTGTGTGTTTTGTGGGGGGTGTCCAAGAGAATCAGAATCAACCCTTTGACAATGGACTTGGTCTTAGTGTTTACTGAGGGAAGCAGAAAAGTTTTGTAGATGAAGGAATGTCTACAATGTATGCAATTTGCAGAAAAGTGCACAGGGGAGGAATGCGCATCAGCAGGATTGAGTTCCCTCTGCCGGGGGAGCAGCAGGGGCTGAACTCCTTCAGGTCTACCATCTCTCATTTTCCATGAAGAAGTCCTGGTGGTGTGGTAGCTAAGTGTTGGGCTGCAAACCAAAAGTTTGGTAGTTCGAACCCACCAGTGACTACTTAGAATGAAGACAAGACAGATTCCTCCAGAAGCCTGATGGAAGATTGTCAAAGTCAGAGCTGACTCAGCCGTAGTGGACTTTAAAGTTTTCCAGCATTGTAACCACTGTGGAAGGCGGTGTGGCGCTTTCTCAAAAAGTTGCAAACAGAAATACCATTGGACCCAGCAATTCCACTACTGGGAATATACCCTAAAGAAGTAACTGCCTCCCAAGAAGATATATGCACACCACTGTTTATTGTGGGTTTGCTCACAATAGCAAAGAGTTGGAAACAACCCAAATTCCCATCAACAAATGAATGGATAGAGAAGCTGTGGTATATTCACACAATGGAATACTACGCTGCTTTGAAAAACAAGGAACTCATGAAATGGGTGACCCTGGAGGACATTATACTGAGTGAAATATCTCAGTCACAAAAAGACAAATGTCACAAAAAGACAAATACTGCATAATGCCACTGTTATAAAACAGGACTGACATGGGGGCTGGGTGGAAACTAAGCAAAAAGGGGATAAATAATCTACACAGCATTGAAACTGATGAGGGCAAGAGCCGTATAAAAGGCTCTTGATATGATTACATATTATTATATCAAGATATATAGTATCATATCATATATATTATATATGATTATATCAAGATATGATATGATATAATATGATTAGATATTATTGGTGTGACAAGAGTCCAGAATAAGAGCTGCATAGTAAAGTGGTGGTGGTGGTGGGGACTGTATAACAATGAAAGAACTTTTTTTCCCAAAGAAAAAAGTGAACTGGGGGAGGGTGGACAGAGAGGAAAATGTGCAACAATGAATGATTGGAAACCCAGGTTCTTGATAAACTTTCATTAAAATCTCAAAAAAAGTTTTCTAGCATCGTGTTGTTGTGTGACCTTCAGTCAGAACCAACCCATAGCTGACCCTCCAGTGGGTTTTCAGAGGCAGTAAAAAGCTGAGAAGAGATTCCCTATCACATGTTGGAGCTGGTGGGTTTGAACTGTCTGCCTTCAGGTTGGCAGTGCAGCTCCTTATCACTGATCCACCAGAGCTAATGAGTGGACATCCTAATTAATAAGAACAACAAAGAGTCAAGTCCTTAGGTCCTGTTACCCCACCCTTTATCATTTTCTTCTCCCCCTCCAGTAGCTTTTCATACGTTCTGCTTGATGATTTCCTGGTAGGCACCAGGTGGGTGAAACCCCGGAACAAATCAAAGGATCATTGAAGGTCTGTGACATAGAAATTCTTTGCAAAGCAGCTCTCGGGATAGATGGAGCTGGAGCAGGGCTCAGGGCTGGGCTGGGTGGGGCCAGATCCTCTGGGCTGGGCTGGGGTGGAAATAGAGCCTCCATCTGTTTGTTCTGGGTGTGGATTGTTGACCCCAGAGGCCAGGGCCAAAGTCCTCCTTTACAGCCTTGGGATAAATGTGCTGGGATATAAGGGGCCTGTGAGGGAGTTCCTGAGCACAGCCGTTGTTGAGGAGACCAGGAGTCTGAGCTGCAAGCTGTTTGCAGAGTGTCGCCATGCCGGTGAAGTAGCTGGGGCCCCAGCACCGGGGGTGGGAACCTCAGTTTCCCCAACTAGAGAGCCAGGAAATTGGGCAGCCTCCCCAGCCCTTCAGCATCCAGGTCCCCCCAATCTTGGCCGGTTCTGGCCAGAGCATGGCACAATAATAATTGCTAATCTCTGTGAAGGTGTCATCGTGGGGCCGTGCTTAAGTGGCTTACCCAAATTTCAAACCTGCCAGGCACTCGGTGGGAGAGAAACTCTGTCCCTCTGACGCCTAGGAAATCCCATGGGGGGGGTCTGCTCAACCGCACCATCATAAAGATGAAGAAACTGAGCCCCAGAGAACACATTGGCCCAGGTCACAGTCGACAAATGCGGGGCGTGGAGCAGATCCTTTGTGAAGATCTTGCACTTGGACTGCAGTCATGACTCCGTCCTAGCTTGCTGTGTGACTTTGGACAAATCATTGCCCCCCTCTGAGCCTCAGTCTCTGGCATCTGAGTATGGGGCTCACAGGAGGATTAGATGGGGTGTAGACCTAGAGAGGGTTCTGTGCACCTCCCAGGGAGACTGGTGAGACCTCCCCCACTGCACGCCCCTCCCACATCTCCAGGGACCACTTCATTCAAACTCTGATCTCACTGAAGGGAGAAATCAGACCAGAAAAGGAAAAGGCTGACTGACACCAGGCCACTCAAACAGTACTAGAGCTGAAGATGGACTGCCCGCTTGCCAACTCCCAGGTCCTGGGCTCTGCGAACTGCCTCCAACCCCAGTTGGCCTCTCGGCCCCTCTCTGGGCCTCAGTCTCCCCATCTGGGGAGGACAGGATCATGAACCTGAATATTGTGGCATTTCCAAATCCTGTTACCGTGGAGCTTTCTGACCCCATGTGTTACAGAGTGCAGCTGCTCCAAAGGCCTTCTTGGCTGTCATCTTTGCCAGGCCTTTCTTCCTAGGTGCCTCTGAGTGGGTTTGAACCCATAACCATTAGGTTTGTAATGGAGTGCAGTGCTACTTAGGGACCTCCAACAGGTCTAGATAGACCAATGGCACCCCTGGCTCCAGCCTTTCTCATCTCCCTACCCTGCTGCCTTGCCTATCTTGGGGTGCTTCAACATGTTTGCCTATGGGAGGTTCAAGGTGCTGTGTGATAGAGTGGGGGTGCTCCTCCTTGTCCCCTCAGCTCTCCCACTCCCTGGGGAAGGGAGGCAGACTGGAAAATCCATGCTTCCTGCATGGTGTGTGGTGTTAGGCACGTGCACGTGTGTGTGTGTGTGTGTGTGTGTGTGTGTGTGTGTCCCCGTGCGTGTGTGCAGGCGTGTGTTCGTGCATGTGTGTGCCTGTGCACAGGAGGACGAGGGCCCATCGGTGGGGGCTGTGTGGCAGTGGGGTTGTTACAGTCCCTTCACAGAGGTACATTACCCACGCTGGACAAGCCTTGCCTCCATCCGAGAGGGAAAGTACTTTGTTAGAAAGGGGCCGAGTGAGCATTGTAATCCTCTGATTTTGAAGGCCGATCAGAGGAACTGGGGGGTCAGGTCTCCAATCTCAGGTCCCCTTTGCTCTGTCACTGGGCAGTTTTATCCCCAGCAGACATAAGACAATATCCAGGCACTTTTGGGATGAGCTGGACTTGGGGTGGTAGTGGCTATGTTGTCCCTTGCAGGAGTGGACAGAGGCCGACCTCTTAGGCTACTTGAAAGAAGCAGGAGGCTTCACACAGCTTTACCCAAATGTGCTTCAGTGATGAAGGCACAGTGCCCCTCAGATGGGTAAACTGAGGCACTGGGCCCTGAGCCTCTAAATCCAGCAGCTTTGCCAACTGAACTGGGGCCAGGGAGCAAGAGAGAGGGGCTCTGGAAAGCTCCCAGAGGTGCCAAAGCACTCATCAGACCCCAGTGGGGGGTGTGGCGGTCACAGGATGGCTGTGGATGGAACACGGTGCCTCAGTGGATGTCCCCGGGGAACAGTGCAGGGCACGGCGGGGGCGTTGCTGGGGTGTGGTCTAATGAACACTTCTCTGTGTAGGAAGAATTTGAAGTCAAGAACATGGACATGAAGTCGGGGACCACCCTGACAATTAAGGGCAAGATTTCCAATGATACCGACAAGTGAGTGGGGGCAGGTGGGGGTGTGTGCGTGGGGGGCAGGGTGGCCTCAGGATCAGAGTGTGAGGATCATCATGTCCTCCTCCCCTTTGCTTTTTCTCATATTAAGAATCTCACATTAGGCGAGTTCTGGTGGCCTAGTGGCAAGAAGCTGCACTACAATCCTGGAGGTGTGAGGTTCAAATCCACCAGATGCTCTGCTGAAGGAGGAACAATCTCCTCCCATACCAGTCAGATCTGATTTGACGGTACACACACACACACACACACACACACGCACACACACGAATCTCACATTAGGGAGCTCTTGTGTCTTAGTGCCAAGAAGCTTCACTGCAATCCCAGAGATACGTGGTTCAAATCCACCAGATGCTCTGCTGGAAAAGGAAGGGCAATCTCTTCCTACACAAGTCAGATCCGATTTGACAGCACACACACACACACACTTTTTTAAAAAAAAATCTCACATTAGAAAATGGGGTTGGGGACCCTCAGAATTTGAGCCCAAGCCTTATAATGTACTCAGTTCCTTGACCCCAACAGCTGCTGAAGGGATGAAGAGCCCTGAGCAGATTCCGGTGGGGTAGATAGATTACCAAAGGCGCAGCCCCCCAGGAACACACCTTTTATCCTGCTGGGCTAGAGGCCCACTTTTTAGGCATGTTAAGGCAAGAGCAGCCACCAGGGGGCGCCAAATGACCTCCTCTCCGCAGCTCCTTCAATGATTCATGAGTGTTGTTCTCCCTACACTGTGTGAAGTCACTGGGCTGCCCTGTGAGCAGGGCCACTTCAGCAAGGTCTCATCATGTAAGCAAGGACTTCAGCATATCAGAGGTCGTGAGGACAGAACCAGATAGGGCAAGGTTCAGGCCAGGGGCTCACAGGGTCACTACCAAGCTTACACAGCTCGATGGCACCAACAGCAAGACCCATCCCCACTGATGGTTGACCAGGAAGCAGGGCAGACAGAGGCCCCTAGCAGCAAGCAGAGAGAAGCTCCCTTGCTTTTCCTTGGGTCCCTTGAGATGAAAGAAATGTAGAGGATTCCTAGCCACAACTCAAAATGCCCCTGATCTCAG